TTACTTGGATGTTTCGAGTTCAGCCATTACCTTAAACAATAGAGTACTCGGATATAAAAACGTTCCAATTATATTTGCTTAGGGAGGCTTGATAACGTTCGATAGCTCATCAGAACGCCACGAACAAGGTAAACCAGTGAATAAAATGCGCGAATAAATTCTTCGCTTTTAGATCATAAACACGTAATTATAATTTTTTGTGTGATAATATCTCGGTGTGTGTTTAATGTGAGAGCAGAATTCAACAAGTTGAATTAAGAAAATGAAGTTGTCCAACCATACGGAGTAGATTTCCATGCAATACGTGACCATGATAATCTGACTTTTCACTGGCGACTTACTTACTTACTTACGATCATTATGGGTCACATTGTTCATTATTAGGTTACATTGTGATGAGAAAACATCTATTTTCAGACACATGTAGACAACAAGTTTTATACTGTGTCACTTGTATACGTACATTTATATTGCAAAGTGTTTTAGAATTGGATACATAATCTCAACTAGATCTGCCGTTTCCAACTTTGTTCTGCCCACAAATATGTTATAACATATATTATCATGTTATTCTTTATACACTGTGTGGTATTCTGGTATTACAAAATATGTCTTTTTTTCATTAAAAAAACGCACCCCCTCCCCACTGAAAAACGTATAAAAAAACATGGCCTTTATATACATTGCTTCTAACAGTCTAACTACGACGTGAAACTTTCAGGGTTGCTAAACACTTCATTACCTCGACCAAGGAGGTTATGTTTATATCAGCGTGTGCTTTGTTTGTCAGTATTATGTCCAAAAATGAATGGGTAAATAAATATCACAAACAGTATGTGAGATAACTAAGATAACGGGGAAGTTTATGAGGCTATTTTAAGTACATAGTTTTCAAGAAAACATTTGAACCTTGAACGTGACTTTAGGTTTTTGATAGCATACGGTGGGTCGTTCGACAGATACATTATTGAGTACGGCAATGAACTATGGATATTATGAACGTTTCAAAAAAGTCATTATTAGATTTTGACCATGTATTGTAGGTAATTCTTGGATATAACGTTCAAGAGTGTGTGCATAGCTTCGATGTTTGTGGTCGAATGTAAAAATATTAGTTTGCATTTTATAAAGTTAATAGATATCTAGAATGCGTAGTTTCCGGAAAAGGCGAGAAGTGTTGGCATTGGGTGTCGATAATGTTTTTAAACGAACTAACGTTTTTGCAATTTAGGCAGAGTGTCAAACATACTGTTTACATACTGTGTACGCAATTGTAAGTAAGATTGTAATCATTTCAAAGTAAACCCACGATTGTCTAATTGTCCGATTGTTTAGTGAATAAACTAAGACCCAATTTAATCACTCTATCAACAAAATTAAAGCTTATATAAATATAATAAGTGTGCTTGGCATGAGAAAATATATTTAGACAATGAAGTAGAAGTTTGCTTTCTCAAAATTCTTTCAAGTTGTCAATATTATTTCACCTGTGTTAGCAATTCAGCTTAAACATCATTTCATATATGGAAGCTACGTGTTTGTTCCGTACATGTCTTAAAAATTGAAATAATGGATATTACAGGCATTTAACCTGATTATTTATAAATTCATGGTATGTTTAGAATTTCTGTATTTACTATTTGCATAACGTGTTTATATACATCTGTGTTTTTATATTATCAGATTATGAAATTATATGCCAGTTTAAAACTCCAGTTAAATATAATTAGCTATAATTAACATAATATATTTATATATACAAACAAATAATTCACCATAAAACATTTCCATGCAAGCAGCCTGGAATTAATTACATTGAACACTTGTGCTGGTAAAAAATGTATAGTTACATTACTTTTTTAATAAACATATGACTACTTGTTTAGTGAGTATATATATACTTTCACGTATTTTTTTTTTATTTATTGTTTCAGATTGAGAAAAATTACA